TATTTGATTTCTGAGGTTAAAATCAGAAGTGCTTCCATTGCATTGCACATGCATTTGTGTGTGTGTGTGTGTGTGTGCATCTATTAGTGTGTGTTGTATGCTGGCTGTGAACTAAATTATCTGGCTTAAAGGGGAAGTCAGATCGTGCTGATTGTCACCAGACCCTCTGATGACTCAGTAAATTTGTTTGCCAAAAAATCTGACCTACGTGTGTGTGTGTGTGTGTGTGTGTGTGTGTGTGTGTGTGTGTTTGTGTGTGTGTGTGCGTGTGTGTGTCACTGTTTTTGTGGATTTATGTGCATGATTTTATGAAACGCTGTAAAAACAAAACAAAAAAGTTCTAATATTAAATATTACACCATATCATAATTCTTGATTTCTAAATACTGTAACATGACATCCCTTCAATCATTTGTATTTGTTTGTCTGTTGTCATTACAGGGCCCATTGAATTTGAGGAATGTAATGTCTCAATCGCCACAGAAGGTCTGCATTAATTTTTCTCTCCGTTCCCATTTTCGTTTTTTTATAGGAAAAATATAGAATATATAATTTCTCTTTAATATCTCTGATTACATCTCTTTATAACAATTTACTTAGACTTTTAGTTTTATAGCCTTTGTGTTCTGTTAAACAGCATAGTATCTATTTTAGGATGCGTTTCATTATTTGTCTAGATTTGTGATAATCATTGCTTATGTCTGTTTAGGTGCAAAACCCAGAAAAAGGAAAACCTTTGTCATACCAGGCCGACGGAAAGATAAAGACACAGATTCCACGTAAGTGTTGACTTTTACTTTAATGTGATCTCACTATGCATTTAAAGAATTCAACTATTTCTATCAGTCATTTTTAATTCTCAAACTTACTGTTCTTCATAGTATTTTGTGAAATTTAGAGCAATAATTATTGTGTTTGAGTAATTATAATAAGTTATATTTGCATAGTAATTTTGCATTTGTGGTAAAATTAAGTATTGTTCTCTAATAAACGTTTCTCTGTCTTGAATAGTGAATCGACTGAAGTAGAAGCAGTTGTGAGTATATGCTTCTCTTTTTTTCTATACAATTAATAATTTTGTTTATTATCATTATTATTGAAGAAAATTATTCATATTTTGAATGTTTTAATACAAAGCCAAAGGTATTTTTCTGTCATTTCATAACATGAAACTCATTTCTTCTGATCAAAGTATGCTCTTTCTTGTTATTTTGGAGAATCTCCATTTGAGTCTCACCCACAATGCTCCTTTTGTTCGTCCTTCTTTCAGAACGCTTCCAACGGAGCTCCCCCGGGTTTCTACGGTGCTATAGATCTTCATAACGCCGTGAGTGGTGACCTAATGTTGTTGAAGGATTGTCTATAATTCTTACAATGTTAAGTAAAGACAACATAGTGTGCATACTTCTTGCGATATTGCTAACAATAGTGTATTTTACCTCAGTCGGACTCTCCTTGTGTTGTGATGTATTGAAGAGTGTGAATAATAGGATTTTTTGTCTGTGGTGTGTTCTGTATTTTTCTGCAGAATGTGCCTCAGCTGGACGAGGAGGGATTCTGTATCCGACCAGAAGTCAATGAGAATGATATCCTTACTCCAGATCCATCTCTTCCATTCTCCCCATCCCTCTCTCACACACACACACACACATCTCATCTCGGTCACAGAAACATTTTCCTTTATCTCTTTCATCGCCTCTACTCAGTGTAAACTCTGAACACTTTTTTTTTTGGCTCGAGAACATAGTGTGATAACTTTCTTTGTTGCACTTTTATCTGAATCGCTGCCAAGTCATTCCTTCCCATCAGATTTTCTTTTGTTTTTTTTCTTTACCAAAGCTATGTCATCGCTCTGTGTGGATTAGAATATGTAAAAAATTTTTTAATAAAATACACAATCTGATCTTCTAAGCCCATGATACTATAGACAAACTTTCATGCCCCCACAACCATGTTCCTTAACGGTTCTGATCACATGCCAAAGAGAACTCCTTTTATTCATCCAGTGACTCAGAAGATGAGGACGAGCCAAGAAAATTCCACGTCCAGATCAAACCCGTGCAGACAAACAACGGCACACACCAGCACAAAGCCACCATCGACGAGCTGAAGGCCTCCATTGGAAACATCACGCTCTCGCCCACCCCTGCCGTAAGAGACGCCTCACACCAGCACACACACCAAGTGTAAAGATCCTCGCATACAGACCTTACATTCACTCACAGAATAATGCAAGCTGGTCTCCCTCTATAAAGGGTGAATGTACACTGTCAGCAAAGAGACTTGTGATTGGTTGATATCATTTACAGTCATGTTTCTGCTTCCCACACTTCATCTCATCCTCCAAAAACCTCCATTGGCCCAGCAGACACTAGAGGGCACTATTTGATTATGATATTTACAGGTGGTCCATAGAGATGCTTTAAATGCTTTCACCCTTTTTTTCTCCATCCTGATTTGTGAGCCTGAGTGCAATTGTATTTTGCACCTGTGGTCATTATAAAGATTTAACTAGCTCATTGAAAATAATATTATGTTGGCCCAAAGGATGTTAGAATTTTATTCATCTCAAGTGTTTGTGTCTGAGTTAGTCACGATGACATAATGGGTGACGTCTGCTATTCTGTCGTTTAATGTTAGAAATGAAGTGTGTGCGTGTGTGTGCGCGTGTACTGTTGTGTGGTCAAGCAGTTCCTCCTGCACACACTGTGAGCCTGTGGACCATCTGTGTGTGTGTGTGTGTGTGCTGTTGGTAAACAAACCCATGCAACTTCCTGCCTGAAATCTCACCACAGGAAGCACGGAAGGGACTCTGTTTCTAATGAGTAAGATCACGAAGGTAAACGCGCTCACACACACACACACACACATACACAAAGGCTCATGAATGCAACAGCTGTGTCTGTAAAAGAAAAGTTTAGTTTAATAGTTTTTAGGCGACCAATGTCTTGACATGTTCAGAGCTAGTTGGTTAAAAATAAACGAAACATCCCTGATTCTTGTGAATGGTTTGCAGCTTTCTTCCTTTTCTTTTGAATAAAAGTTATTGATTTTATTCATTGAGGATGCATTAAATTGATAAAAAGTAACAGAAAAGACATTTAATGTTACAAAAGATTTATTTCAGGTAAATGCTGTTATTTTTAACTTTCTATTTATCGAAGAATCCAAATTCTACAAAAATATTATGCATCTATGCACTTTCAACATTAATCATACTGAGAAATATCTCTTGAGCATCAAATCAGCATATTAGAATGATTTCTGAAAGATCATGTGACACTAAAGACTAAAGTGATGGCTGCTAGAAAATTCAGCTTTGCATCACATCACACAAATTAAAATAGAAAATAGAAAAGTTGAAAACAGACATTTAAATTGTAACAATTTTTCACAATATTTTTGTTCAAATAAATGCAGCCTTCTTTCAATAAACATTAAAACAAATTGTTTTAATCAAACTTTTGAATGATAGCGTATTGGTATTGGCTGATAAACATTAGCTGTGTTATGGACAGAATAAAAACAAATTGGTTAGGTTAGTTATATCAGTAACATCGTTTGTAATTGTGATTTCTCTTTGTCCAAGATTTCATCTGTCCCACTGCTCAGTTTCACCCTTTTGTGTGTTTTACATTCTCTCTCCGCATCCCTCGCTCTTCGTCTCGTTGTGACACTTTGAAATGACAGAGTGATGTATTTCTGCAATAACACATCCTCACAAGTGCCAGCTTGTGTTTTCAGTGAGCACAGCCGGGGCGACAGTTTACTTTAGACACCTTCGCTGCCGCCTCTGTTTGCTCTGTTTGAGATGGATTAACACACATCTTTTAGAGAGGCTCTTCATCATTCATTTCACCAGGCTTGAGCTTTCTCTCTTGCCCCAAATGTGCTCAGTAATCACTCAGATTAACCTCTGAAATATTTACACATCTGAAAAACTCACTCGTTCACCATACTGAACATTTGTCTTCGTGTCTCATATCAGAGTTGTGTTTCCTTTCCCTCTCAGTCACATTTCTTTTCATTGACCTGTTTGTTTCATTTTTTAGGCGGATATGTTTTATGGTAGTTTTGGTTAAGTCAGGAAATCTAGGTGATGACGAATGCCATGTCATCTGTTGTAGATTATTGGTATTATAGAGCTTTCCATTTCCCCTAGTCTTCTGTTGTCTCTCTTTCCCCTTCATGTGTGCTCTCTCTCTCTTTTTCGTTGGCGGGTGTGTGGCCTGGGTGCTGTAATTGAACCCATTTGCCACTCTCTGCCTATGGGACTAAACCCTGCCTTGCGTGTATGTCTATTTGTATGCATGTGTGTGTTTGTTTGTGTTTCCACAGTTTTTCCTTCACGGTTTACCATTTAGTTACATTTATGGTCCATACATTGATGTTCTGATGTGTTTCTTTTCATCGAACGCACCAAAAATAAGTGAGATTTCTTGCCATCCACTCTGACAGGGTTTCGGGCAGAGATGCTGCATATGAGTCACTTTAAATACACAATAAACCAAGCCTTCCCATCTTTGTGCATTTGTTGCCGTTTTGCTAGTTGACTCTTGTTGACATTTCTCAGCCTCAAAACAATCCCGGTAGTGAATTTGTTTGGATTCTCTGCCACTCATTTTCTCGTGTTTAGACTGCCTGCAGAATATTGATGCAGAATTTATGGTTTGAATATGTAATCTCAATAGAGCGGTTGTGTGTGTGTGTGTGTGTGTGTGTGTGTGTGTGTGTGTGTGTGTGTGTCGTCCTGTGAGGCCAATATCGATTGAATGAATGTGGGGATGAAGCACTTCATGTCTTCTGCTGTTTTCATAACTGTTCTCTCACTCTCATTAATAAAAGCCTGTTTTCATTTCCAGGTTCATATGAAGAAGAACCAATCCAGTGAGTATTCCTCTCTTTTTTTTCATCCTCCCTCCATCCCTCTGTCACTCTGAAGGTTTGGCTCTGGAGCGCGCCTGCCATTTTGACTTCTCTTTTTAGTTTTTCTTGGCCGTGACGTTTCTCGTCAAGCCTCCTTCATCTCGCTCCGGTGACCCCTCCAAAGCCAACTCATCCCATGAGAAAATAAACATCATCTCCCATTTTTTCCTCATCTGAGTAGCACAGCGTTGCCTCCTTAAGCCATGAACAAGATTAACTGCTTAATTGTGTGTTTATGTTTTTCTATCCATCATAATTTTACATTTTTCCAGTAAATTGTGGCTTAAACGAACACAGATGCATGCCAGAATGTAGTGTTTACACTGCGGCATGTTCTCACATCAAGAGCGACGATTTCAACCTCCCAGGAAAGTTTTACATACTTTAAATCCGTAAGACAGTAATTGAGCTTACAGTAGAAATGTTTTGTTATTCTTGCACTGGAACGGTAAACATTTCTTCAAAGAGCGAATTTACCGCAAACCTCTTGCACGTGCTGAAAATGATAAGGTCTGGCAGGTAATTTTATCCGATAAGTCCTTTAATCCAATAGATGTTTTATCTGAAATCGCACCAAGATGCTATTTCAGGAATCACAAAAGATAGATAGTATCTTTAGTGATAGTGTTTAGTATTATGTTTTAAGGGAACCATGTTTCATTTCTTTTTACAAACTGATTTTATGGCTTATTGGTGTCTAGCCAAAATGTGACCCTGGACCACAAAACCAGTCAATAAGGGTCAATTTTTCGAAATTGAGATTTATACATCACCTGAAAGCTGAATAAATAAGCTTTCCATTGATGTATGGTTTATTAGGATAGGACAATATTTGGCAGACATACAACTATTTTAAAATCTGGAATCTGAGGGTGCAAAAAATCAAAATATTGAGAAAATCGCCTTTAAAGTTGTCCAAATTAAGTTCTTAGCAATGCATATTACTAATCAAAAATTAAGTTTTAATATATTTACAGTAGGAAATTTACAAAATATCTTCATGGAACATGATCTTTACTTAATATCCTAATGATTTTTGGCATAATAGAAAAATCAATAAGTTTGACCCATACAATGTATTTTTAGCTATTGCTGCAAATATACCCCAGCGACTTAAGACTGGTTTTGTGGTCCAGGGTCACAAATGTCCTTTTCAGGTTATGGCATATAACTGATAAATGGCCAAAAAAATGTGATACTATTTTGTTTAGTAAATAAATAAATATAACACTAAAAAAATCTGTTGATTTAAAAGCCACAATTGACTTTAAACATCGTGACATTATATAGATGTTTATTTTGAGATTTATTAAAGAATACATTTAACAGTGTTATTAAATTATTTAGATTTTTAAAGAATTTGAATGAGCATTGGATGACTGCAAAAGGTATTCTAAATAGTAAATCAACTGATACCATAAAAAATAAATATATACAGATATATGTATTTTGCGGCACCTGGGCAACTTAGAATAAACTAAAGAATATTCAGTACTGAATGTTATTGTAAATGTGGATCTCACACATACTTACTGTAGGAATGACACAACAACAAACATTCCCTGCTATAAAACCAAAGTCAGGTGAGTCTGCTGAGCGTACCCACACTCTCTTTTGGTCCGTAGCTGCATTTGTGTTGGTGGGAATGAGGGATTCCGTTGAAGCTGAAAAAATTTAAATAAAAACAAAATGTGCAATCTAAAAAATAAATTATTTGTACCAAAATTACCATTGGTAACTAATTTAATCTGTTGTCTTTTAACACTGTCATTTGTTCTTTGTGTATAAATACACTGTATGTCTTTAGGATTTGATCTCAAATATGTACCATTTAAAATGTACTATGCAGAACATTTATAGCATGTCATTTTAAATGTATGTATTTGATGCTTGACCTGTGATAAATGGGGTTGCAAGAACATGTGTCTCATGTAGTACTCGACTTAGTACCAGTTTTAAACCACCTGACATGGCACTTCATGGTCAGAAACACTATCCTTACTCAACCAAATTACTGCTGCGGTTTATTTTCTGGGTTCCCTATTGTTTTTTTTATCTGGCATCCAACAATAGTTTTTCTCTTAACAATCTAGTATTTCATTTTTTAATGTCCTTTTTACTTCATGAAACACATGAGTTGCATTTTAAATCAAGGCCTAATGAGCAATGCCCAGTTGTAAGAAGTTGTAAGTTAAAAAATTAAGAAAACCCTTACATTTGCAAAGGGATTTCTTTGTTTAATTTAAGGGTTTTCTTTCAACTGCTTCCAGATCATGAAGCCTGAAGAGTTGCCCCATGACTCATTTGTGTGTTTTCTCATTGTTTTTCAGGTGATGACCTGGCACGACCCAAGATACCGCAGACATCCTTTAATGAGTAAGAGAAGCTTTGCTGTTAATCCTGTCACTCTATTTGGAAAACATTGTAACCAGTTATTCACTTGTCATGTTTTTTTTTCTTCAAACAGTAGATTAGCCAGTAATGACCTGCTGTCTTTGGATCCATTTGGCCCGACCAGCACCAGCTCCAGCTCCTCTATACCCCACTCATCAGGTAACTCCTGACTCCTGAAATAGACACCATTTATAATTCCAAATCCGAGGTGTTATATCTTACATAAACTCTACAAAAGAGCATGTAATGTGTGTGTATATATATGTACTGTATGTGTTTGTGTGTGTGTGTGTGTGTGTGTGTGTATATATATCACACACACACACACAAGTATTTACAAGTAATATTTATATTTAAAACATGTCTCAGGGTCAGCATCTTAATGACAGAGTTCAGCTTGACAGTAATGGAGTCAGAACATTCTTCATCGACCACACACACACACACACACACACACACTGTACAGGCAGACAGTCGTAAGTCATTCACTCCTCCATCCCCCAGCCTCTGGGAGGCTTATCTTAGGTCTGACCTCCTTCATTATTGATGATGCTTACAGGCTGGTGAAAGTGTCTGGGCTTTTCCAGTCCACAACAGTCTCCTCTAGAGAGCTTGCTCAGACTGCTGTTGTCACGGAAACCCTAGTATCCCACAGCGACTTCACTCAGTCTGTCCTCTGCTTTAGTATGAAATCTTTTGTGAATGCCATGGGATTTTTTTTTGTTTGTTTGTTTGTGTCTTTGTTTCTAATTTGCGGGTTTGTTTATTTTTGTTTTTGTATTTTTTACATTTTGGAATTATAGAATGGGCTTTTTAAAAATATATCTCAGTTGTTTACGGATACTTGTATTTCTTAACACAAATTACGGCATTTACACAAAAATGTGCACTTGTGAAAAAAAGCCCCTTGTGTATGCCTTGAGTATAGTATAGTATACATGCTCCCTCATGCTCTACGCGTCTCCCTCTCCTTAGCTCTTGACCTTGATTGTTGAAATGAAATGTTATTTTCTCATCTGGGAATTAGGAGCTTCCATATCTTAGAGAATGGCGCAGTTGATAGTAGTCTTAACCCAATGTAAATTTTCACAGAATTGACAGTATGTCATATACACACATTTATTTTTGTGGCTATTAATTATTTTATAGAAAATGTTTTAGACTTTTTAATTCTATGTTGTAATCCTTTATTTTGGAAAATATATTGTGGGTAAATTCTAGGGTGAATGTTATATTCGTTTGCAAACAAGTGAGCGCTTTTCTTGCTAAGCCACTCAATGCAGTCACTAAAAAAAGCCAACCCGTCATTCAAGCTCTGACCTTAGCTGTGAGGGCCAATCATAATCCAGAGTTAATTGGCACCTTCAGAGGTCAGAGGGCGGAGTTTGGAGTCCCCATGTCACAGACATTGTCAAACATGATCTTGTTATGGGTCTGACCTGGCAAAGGAACAAAAAGAGCAGTGAAGAGGATATAGGACGTGAGTAACATAGCGAGGTATTGCACTTGCATTTTTGCTTTTTTCCCTGCTGTGAGCTATTGTGCTATTTAGGGTTTTTTTTTTTTTTTTGGCTTTTGATTAGTCTTGTTTCTCTCATGTGTTTTAATTGAGCCTTATTTATATTGATTTCCTTTTATTTTCTCATTCTTTGTATTTGTTCAACGCTTTTTTGTTTCTCAGACCTGGCTTCTCTCTTCTTAGCATCTTTCCCTACATCTCTCCCACTGCAGTTAAATGATGGGGTTTTTGAAGACCCAGGTAATGCTATTGCCCATGCTTGCGGTTTGATCGTCAGAATAAAACTCTTTCCATAACAGACTCTGACCCGAATTGCTCAAAATATGCAAAAATGTGAATGATGATTGGAATGTTTTGCTTGAACTCACCCCTAATATTTCTAAGAGATGTATCTGTGAATATGAGTATTTTCAACAGAGTGCTTTTAGGAAAGTTTACATAAATGTAAAAAAAGTTCATCATTTACTCAATCCCATGGGAAAAAAAGTCATACAGGTTTGAAGCGACATAAGAGTGAGTACAGAATTTACACATTTGACCCATACCTTTTAACAATGTTATGTCATTTTAAATATTTTCAACTCATTTATGTTATAGTGTTTTATTTGTTTTATTTTATGCATTTGTATTAGTTGTGACTGACAGAGGTGCATGAAGTTTAGCTGGTAGTTTGCTTTCGATCACCAGGTTGTCTTGTTATATGTTTTTAGGGATCTTTAAAAGTACATATTTCAGTAGGATTCTACAATATTTTGACCATTGTTTTTTTATAATTTCTATTCACACTTATAGTATTGTTTTATTTAAAAAATGTAATTTCTATTTTTTATTTTGTTATTTTCTTTTTTCATTTTTATTACTTTTTTTAAAATCATTGTATACTTACGATTTACTTTAAATTGTATCTTTTTTATATATTTTGATCATTTTCACTGATACTGCCTCATTTAAAAAGGTCTGTTTTTCCTAGTTTTGGTTTAAAATGATATTTTTTATGTAGTTATGTGAAATATAGAGCTGTATTCCATATTCAGATTAGATCTTCTGTGCTTTTTCCAGTTTTTTTACATTTCCTCCATGTAGTCTTTTCAACATGCCTGTCAGTATGTGGTATATTTTTAACAACAGCGCATTACTCTTTTCTCTCTGATGACCCCTGTAACAGAAGTGGATTTACAGTCGGAGGCCACCTCTCCTTCAACAGTCAGTCTTGAGATTACCGAGGCTCCTGCTTTTCCCCTTCCCTCCAAACTCCCTCCTCCTGCTGGTCTTGCCAAGCCGTGCACTCCGCCGTTCCCTGTTCTCTCCTCTCCTTGGGAGCTCCCTGATGAGGCTGTCACTCCCCTCCACCCTGGCCCAGCTCGAGCTATGAGTGTGCCTCCAGCTCTGCAGGCTGCTCCTAAGGACTATGCTACCCACAAGCCCCCTCTCAGTGCTCCTGTCACTGGTCCAGACGCACTTTCGTCCTGGGCCCAGAGCCAATGGATTGCCTTTAATGATGCCTTTGTGCCATGTCGTGGACTGTCCCATCAACCAGCAAGGCCTCGGTCAGTGCCCGTTTCTCAACAGCCCAAGCTTTTCTCAAGAGAGCCTGTTGACACATTTGGCAGCTTTGGGAGAGAGGAGAGTGCCCTCTCTCTAAAGGAAGCACCAGCTCGACCCATGCAGTATGGTAATATTGAGGAATGAGTGAGAGTTCTAAGCATGTTCAAACACTGTCCTATGGCTACATGACAGTGAGATATGTACTGTGCATTTAACAAACCTAATTTTTTATGTAACTTGTTTTCATTTATTGTAACCGATTTGGTTTTTATTTATTTATTTTTTCCCCCAGTTAGAATTTTATTTTACATTTTTTGATTGATTGGTAAAAATGTTTATTTTATTTTTGCATTTTCTGCGTTAATTATTGATTTAAGTAATACAAATGTAACAAACCTGTAAGCCATCATAGTCATAATTACTGTTTAGCTGGATGCAGTAAGAAAATGTTTGGCCCAAGTTTAGTTTGTTTTGTTTTGTTTTATACAGTATACTCAGTAACTCAGTAAAGTTACTCAAATTAATATGAAAATCTATTTATTTTTTACATTTTCTGCATGAATTATTGATTTAAATAATGCATTTTTTAGCTGGATACAGTAAGAAAATGTGGCCTAAGTTTGGTTTGACTTTTTCTTTTCCGATTCACCTGCCAAAGCATCTCAATGCAAATATGTCCGCAAATTCGCTCAGAAATATCATATCCAGCATTTTCTAATTCCAAAACAGTATGACTAAGATGGTTTAAAAGGTGCAGATGTTTCTTTTTGTTTCTTTACTTGATTTTGTTTTTTATACTTATTTTCTGTATTCACTTTGTTTGTCCATAATTTATAATTTGTTTATATTGTGACGTTGGCCCTTGCATGTGCATTAGGTATAAACTATAGATTTGACTGTTAGCTTGTTTCTGCAAGACTGTGATGTCAAACCTATTGTAGCAACATTTTGAATGTTTTTCAGTATTGTTGGGTTCAATCATGCTCACAGTGTGCTACTTCCGTATTTTCCCCTTTTTTGCACGTCTTGTGGTTCTAACATTTGTGTTTTTGTTTTTTTTTGGCACAGTACCACCTCCAAACAGGCCAACCACTCCCCTGGGCACAGCAACCATTGTCCCGCCTCCAAGACCATTATCCCGGCCCAAACTGCCTGCAGGCAAACTGACGGGCATCAATGAGGCTGTGAGTAAAGAAGATATTCCCTGATTCCACCTCACCCAGGCTATAGTATAGGGACTGAACCCGAACTAAATGAAGATTGAATGCAGTGAATTATTAATCAGTTAGTTGTTTTCTGCAGGGCCAACCATTCAGCCCTCCTAAGATGTCCAACTCCAGCCCTCCTCCCGCTGCTCCTCTGGCTCGTGCCGAGAGCTCCTCCTCTCTCAGCTCCAACACCTCCTTGAGCACCAGCAACACACCAACTGTCGGTGAGTCTTCAGTTTCACACATTAAGATGAACACAAGCTGCCCACACAAAATCTGCATTCACATCATCTGCATTCACAATAAAATAACAATAAAATTCAAATGTATTGGGTTATTTGTTGCGGTTTTTTTATACTCATGTCCACATCTAAGGAAAGCTAACATGCACAAATAATGCTCTACACGTTTTATTTCATTATATGGTCAACACATCGCTTACCAGATCACTCCATCCTCACCCTTCACTGTTGGGTTGTGCTCTCGGCCTATTTTTCTTTCTCTTTTTGGTTTCCTTCTTTCATTTTGAATTAAGAGGACGATCTGTTCGTGGGGAAACTGCCCACATTTGAGAAGAGATGTGAGACTCCTGCAGGTACAGTGGAAAGAACCCAGAAGAACATTTTGTTCTAACTTACTAACAAACTCAGAAATGATCATCTGTCCTTGATCAACCAACTGCATTGCCCCATCTGCTAAACCACACCCTATTCCCATTCTGTAACACGCCATTTGATCTGCGGTGGATTTTTCTTGCTTCAAACTAACGTGGATGATCTCTACTCATAAAACTGACTATTGTGCTGCTGTGTTGTATTGTGGCTGATGAGGATGCTTGGCAGAAATTGCTCAAAGAAGTCTTTTCGTTTTACCTGTTGATCTTTCAGTGTTTGTCACTGCGAAGGTCTGAATTGTCTGAACTCAATCACATTCCTCCTACTATTTTTGATTCATACTTAAATGTCTGTTTTTAAATGTTTGTTTTTTTTCCGTCTCTCTTTTTATCTTTTCTTTTCTCTCATAGGGACCTCTCGTGGGCCCAGTCCAGTGACACTGGCTTCCCAGGATGCATTGCCCATTGCGGTAGCATTCACAGAATCAGTTAATGCCTATTTCAAAGGAGCAGATCCCAGCAAGTGAGTTTCACATCATCTGCCCTGCAAAGACCATACAGACTTCTAAAGACGTTCTATACATTTGACATAGAGAGTTGTACAATTGTGATCTCCATGCCTAGAAACATCAGAGTAATACAATTAATACAGTTTTAGAAAATAATTGACAATGGAACATTTTTATTTTCTGAAATAATTTATGTGTATGCTCAGCTCTGAATGTGATATCTGTAAAATGATTTTTAAAAATCCTCACATGTGAATTTAGGTGCATTGTGAAGATCACAGGAGACATGACCCTGTCCTTCCCCAGTGGCATCATCAAGATTTTCACCTCTACTCCGTCTCCTGCTGTACTCAGCTTCAAACTCTCAAACACTAGCAGATTAGAGCAAATCATGCCCAACCAGCAACTACTGCACAGGTGAGTTTGTGTTTCTGCTTGTGTTACACTACCATTGGGTCAGTATTTTATTATTATTATTATTATTATTATTATTGTTGACATTTTTTTTTGGAAAGGTAGTAAATTTTTTAATTCAGCAAGGATGCATTAAATTGACCAAAAGTGATAGTAAAGACATTTTAATGTTACAAGAGATTTATATTTCGAATAAATGTTGTTCTTTTGAACTGAATCCTTATAAAGCATGTATCTCGGTTTCCACAAAAAGCAGCACACCTGTTGATAACTGCCAAAATAAAGACATGTTTCTTAAGCAGCAAATCAGCTATTAGAATGATTTCTGAAGGATCATGTGACACTGAAGACTAAAGTAATGGCTGCTGAAAATTCAGCTTTGCCATCACAGGAATAAATTAATATTTTGAAAAACAGTTTTTACGGTGTTATTAATCAAATAAATGCAGCCTTGGTGGGCATAAGAGAGAGACTGGCTTGAAATATTTTGTATATTTGTAACAGTCTTTTTATTTTCATCATGATTCGACATAGCATCAAGTGCTCAGGCTAAACTCATGCTGCTCTCACTCACCCATATCCTTTTTGCTGTTGTGCGAGTTCCTGCCAGCAGCTCCCAGGCATGACTAATCAAATCAGGAGGGATTTGTGATTTAATAGTTGAGCTGCTGCAGTAGGGTTAGTTGTTCCATGCTGCTACAATGACACGCAGCAATGAATTATTGAGTTCTTAATAGTGTTTTCTCTCTGTGTGTGTGTGTGTGTGTGTGTGTGTGTGTGTGTGTGTGTGACTCCAGTGACTCCTCCCAGAGCGACACTAAAGACTTTTGGCTGAACATGCCTGCACTGACAGCGTACCTCAGGAAGAGCTCTGAGCAGAACCCTGCTGCATCCTATTACAACGTGGACATCTTAAAGTACCAGGTTTGTAGTTTTTCATTCAGTTATCTTTGGGATAGTTCTCTGTTAGCCTATGAATTCTTCAAAAAGCATACAAGTAAAGCATGTTAGTACTAGCTGGTCTAGTATACTTGCATGTTTACTGTTGATATTTAGTAGGGGTGGCACGATACCATTTTTTCAGAACCGATCCCGATCCGATACCAAAAGTTCTGAGTATCCAGTTACTCCTAACAGTACATTGACTGAACTGCTAAAAGAGAACCGATGATGGGATGTGCACGAGCAGAGCAGCTGGACTGTCTTGTCCTGCTGGGAGACGGCATCACAGTATGTTAAGGGGCGTAACATTTCTGTCACACGCTTGAGGCATTCGGCCAATCACAGCGCACTGGATAGCTGGCCAATCAGAGCACACCTCGCTTTTTTAGAAGATGAACTTTGTAAAAATCGACACGTTTCAGAAAGGCGGGGCATAGAGGAGAAACAATATTGTACATTATATGGAAAATAATGTTTTTTTTTAACCTTAAACCGCATAAACACATTGCATTACACCAAATACACAACATAATGTTCTTTTTAGCAACGTCATATGACCCCTTTAAATCTGTGCGTTAGTTTATTGAGCCTTTTCTTTTAACAGTTTTAAATTTCAGTTACTGTGCGCGTGAAGAACAATTCATAGTACTCCAGTGTAGTGAACCTCTAACAGACACCCGGTAGAAAGTAACAGGATTTAGAATTGGCACTAAACTCCAGCAAGATAAAGTCCTTCTATGAAAAACCGCTGATGTTTATCTACAGATCAAGTATAATAATAGGAACATTGCATCATCCTAGAGAGAGTTTCGTCGTCTTGACTGTCGTAACTGAAAGCAACACGCAGTTTGAACGCTGAATGGAGGATGACTGACAGCCGCAGCGGTGAGAAGAGTTTACGAGAACTTGAATTTAACAACTTAAATAAATATATTAAATATTAAATATAACTCACATTAAACTTTGAAACGTCTCAGAACACTTGAAATATAGTGCACGGAAACTTTATGGTGCTTTATAATGTTTTTGTGCCTTTCGTGGGGCTTAACAATAACACAGAATAGTATACGTACTATATCGGATTTGGATCGGTCTCGTCTGACCGATACCCCGATCCAGCAGAAAATGCCAGTATCGAAGCGATACCGATCCTGAATATCGGATCGGCGCACCCCTAATATTTAGTTTGCCCGATTATTGGTGGGTAAGAAAAGATCCTTTGGCCTTCCTTTCTCAGGTATGTTCAAATGGGATTCAGTCAACTCCTCTGAACCTTGTGGTGTACTGGAAATGCACTCCTAGTACTACAGACCTGCGAGTGGACTACCGATACAACCCAGAGTCCATGCAGCCCCCCGCAGCTCTCACCAATTTACAGATGTTAGTGCCCGTCAATGGAGGCGTCACAAACATGCAGTCACTTCCCAATGCCATCTGGTGAGTTGGAGGGAGTAGGCACACAAATATACAAACACACAATTTATCTTGTGATAAAAACACTGCTGTATGGACCTAATCACTGTAATATTTAAGTTATATACATAATATACACTAACATTTAAAAGTTTGGGGTTGGTAATTTTTTTAAATATTTTTAAAAGAAGTCTCTTATTTTCAAAGAGGCTGCATTTATTTTATTAAAAATTCTGTAAAAACTAATATTGTACAATATTTTCACATTTTTTAAATAACTTTTTTATTTAATATATTTTCAGATGTAATTTATTACTGTGATGGCAAAGCTGAATTTTCAGAATCATTACTCCAGTCATCAGTGTCACATGATCCTTCAGAAATCATTCTAATTAGTGGTCGACCGATATGGGTTTTTTGACAGCTGATGCCGATATCTTGGAAAGCAGGGTGGCCGATGGTCGATATAAAGCCGATATAATTTTATTTATTTTAATTTATATTTAAGAAATTTGAAATCATTTGAAAATTGATTAAAGATAATTGTGTAAAATAAACATACTTATACTTTAGAAGACAAAGCATTTTTAAAAAATAAATAAATATTTAATAAAAATTGAATTAAAAAGGAAGTAAACACTAACACTGTAACCAACAGGGCACTCAGTATTCCGTTTGTGAGCATTGGGAATAATTTTAATTTTTTTATTTTTTTTTTTTCAAAAAAAGAAAGTATTATAATGTTTGCCTTTCTATTACTAATAATATTAAAGCAATCGTTATAATACTTTTTTGTATACAATTTAATTCCTTTGTTTAACAGTTCTATCTGATTATTAGATAGACTTCTATCCATATTAGACAGAACTGAACGACGACAGCGAACAAGAGGGAGAATGTGAGCGGTGTGTGCTCAGGCGCTGTCGCTCTCAACGCCATCAAAATAAAAGTCCCGCCTCGAACACATCGGCCAAACGGAAAAACTTATCGGCCAATGCCGATATTTGAAAAAATTCCAAATATCGGCCGATATATCGGTCGACCACTAATTCTAATATGCTGATTTGGTGCTCAAGAAACATTTCTTATTATTGTCAATGTTGAAAATTGAGTTGAGCTGCCTAATATTTTTGTGGCAAACAAAAAATAGCATTTATTTGGAAAAATGTAAATGTCTTTACTGTCACTTTTGACCAATTTAATGCACCCTTGCTTAATAAAAGCAATAATTTCTTTCAAAAAAGAAAAAAAAATCTTACTGACACCAAACTGTTAAACAGCGGTGTATACATAATCATAGAGTCCCTTTAACCACGTGATTGTTACTGTTTTAATTAGGAACGCAGAACAGAGTAAGTCATTATGGAAATTGAGTGATATCTCTGACAAGTCTGAAAATGAAGGTAAGAACAAATATATGTATATGTATGTATATATATATATATATATAAATTTTTTTTTTGTTACATTAAGTAGCATTTGTGTGTGTGTGTGTGTACATGAACCTTTGATTTAAAAGGGTCATATTATGAAAAATTAAATTTTCCATGATCATTTGAAATAAAAGGTTATTGTAGTCATTTTCAAAACTTCCTTCCCAGATTTTTTTGAACACCTCATTCTGTACTTCTGGGGCAGTTAAAAACTATTTTGCATTTAATAGCAGACTCTCAGCTTGTGAGTAAGTGCACAATAGTATTGTTTCTAATTTCCCATAGGAATTTTATAGACCAATTAAAATATCAATGCAAAAAGGTCAGAAATTGTTTTCAGAAAGCTGTTATTCAGCAGATAACGCAGTGCATTTTCTACATTATGTTGTAGAGATTAAAAGATCATCTGGCACAGAGTATTTCGGTATTGACTATGTTTGTATGTGTCAGGCTCTGGTTCTTTGAGAGCAAAGTTTGAGCTGTCTGATGGTCCATCCATCCCTGCCACCCTGGCTGTTCAGTTCTTCAGTGAAGGCAGCACTCTGTCTGGTGTAGATATGGAACTGGTCGGCTCTGGTTACCGTCTCTCCCTCAATAAGAAGAGATTTGCCACTGGTAAGATTGACTTTAGACTTCACCAAAGCAACATTTACACTTTCACTAGAAGATGTTATGATTCAAGATCATGGTGTTATTATAACAGTTTAGATTTCAACACATTCTCAACATATGCACAAGCATGTAGGTTTGTCGTTGAAACGAGTTGACCAGAGACATGTTTGTGTGCATTCACAGGCCGCTATATGGCTGACTGCTGAGATCTGAGCAGAGACCTGTCTGCTCTCAAATGCAGGGAATCTGGAGGTCAATTCCTGTTCATTCATTAATTCTGTCACTGGTTCGCAATGATATTTATGGAGGATCGTTAGGGGGGATGGAAAAAGAGAGCTGTCTGGGTGAAGGCCTCTCATGCTTCTGTTTCCTCTCCACGTTCTGAACGATCCAGTTCCAGTGAAGCACCTTCTGGAGATTCAAGATTTTTATACTATATTAACGTAGCACTGAATATCAAACACTGTGTACAAAGAAAAATAAAAAAAAAAGAAAAGAAAAAATGAGGAATGTCAGGATATTGGCGAATGAAATCATTAATCTTTGATACTTTTCGATCAATTCAGACTTTTATAAAGTCAGAACGGTAGTGTTTGTTATTTTGATATGTATAGTTAACAATTTGTAATATGAATTATATGTGTATAATACAACATATCTAGGCAAAAAAAAAAGAACAAAAAAACTGCACTAACAATCTTTCTGGATATTTGTTGAGCATTCATTTCTCCATTTGTATTCACCCAAATGTCAGTCACAATGACAATGAGGAGAACAAAAGGTGGAAAAAAAGCCTCAGCAATAGATCACTTCATTCTCACAAGAAAGCCTTACTTCTTGTCCGTGGTCTTTTCCATAACCGAGCATTGCACATCCGGCTGATAGATTTAGATTCCCCCTCACCCCAATTTTTGTTGTTTTCAGTTTCTTTCTTTTTTTCAGTTGTATTTTTCCTTATAAATGTGCAATGAAGGTATAAGCTTTCAAAATTACATTTATGGATTGTTTTTAAAGTTTAGTGCCATTTTCACTTTAACATTGTCAAGAGAACCTACTGGTTAGTTGTGTGTCTTAACAGCAAAAGGAAACTTATACACTGACCTCAGTGCCTCTTTTTTTGTTACTTAAAATAATTATACAGGACAATTTGCATGTTTAAGTCTAAAAGACCTATGTTTTCCCCTTTTTTATATTATGACCTTTCCTCTTCCTAAATTTTTGAAGTGCCAGTTCAGTTCTTTATGCTTCCTGATGGGATACTGAAGGGAAAACACTGCCTAAACTTTAGCCTTTGTCCTTCAAACCCCTTTAGAGTGCTTTACCCAAACAGTTCAGTGCAAAGGAATGTGCTGTTCCCGTTTTAGACGTCATCCAGGTGTTTTCTGTAATGCCTTATAGATGTGTGCCGAAATGATACCAAAATAACCACAGAAAGTTTTCACTGAAAAAATTCGAATTACAAACACCGACCTGACCATTTGGGGAGATCCTTGTTGATAAACAGACCAAAATATTGTGAATATTCGCATATCAAGATGAATTACAAGCATGCACACTTTTTAGTGTAGTTGATTAACAACGGACTACCAATTTTTTACATAAGTGTATTTTTAAGGGACACTGTGTGTATGTTTTCACCAAATGTGCCGTCACGTCTGTTTTTGAGTGTTTAATGTTAATAATAACTTGAACGCATTAGATTCTTAAAATTATGGCTCAAATGATCTTTTTTGCTTTGAGCAAGTTTGCCAAATACAAATCAAAAAGCACAATGATGCAATGAGCCAGTGGAAGTTTAAATGTGTGCAGGGTCCAACTGCCACATGAGAGATTTTTTCATTTTGAGATTTTCTTCATTTCTTTTTTTTTTTTTGCTGGAACCCAGTGGTGAGCATTTACAGTGCTTTAAGGGAGTCTGTCCCCCATACAAGGGCTATTTGCCTTGTCCTCTTCAGAGGACCACGTCTCCAAGGGCTAACCCAATCTCAGCGATAGCCAACACCATTTGTAACTTAAAATGAAAAACACTAATAAACACTAAACGCCACCAATGAAGGATGAATCTGAAAGCAACGACGTTCTTTAAAATTACGTCTTGGTATCACCAGGAACTTTTTTTGTCTCTTCGATCGCAGCCTAACAGTTTTGTGAAGTAACAACATAAAGATTTTATCTTCAGAATCATCACTGTCTTTATGTACCTGTTTTATATATATATATATATATATATATATATATATATATTTGTGATTTTAATTTACTTGTATTCAGTATAAAATGTGGTGTTGGTGTCAATACAGAGGCAGAAATCAACTGGGGAACATCCTGGTCAATGTAGCATCCGAATACAATACAATATTGGCTTCTTTAAGTGAATATGAACTAATTGTGTCATTAGCGAGCTGGTTCTTGCTGCCTCTACAGCCACGTCAATATTCAAAGTCATTTTGGAGCATTTAAAAAGTTTATTCTTTTCTTTCTTTCTTTTTACGTCCACATTCAATGGCATGGTAAAACATTTTTGTGATTTTTCTTTTTTTTTTTTACCACCTAATGTAAATTTTTAGAAATATTTCTGCCATGTTTCTCTGCTTTATGATGCTCTGTGTCAGTAATAAATGTGTAATATATAAATCTATACAAATATAAGAAATACTACAGAATGCTAACTTGTCTGTCTTCTTTGTTTGCATAGAGCTATTCAGAAATTAAGCTATACATTTCCTTCATCAAAAAACAGCTCAATTTCCCATCAGTAATACCTCCTCTTTTGTCACAATTATGGTGAAGAAAATGAGCAGCTTATGGCATACGTTTCATCTGAGTCATTTGAGAGAATAGTTGATGTTTGGATTTTTTTCCTATGTGCACTAATTTGACCAGCTAATATTGATGTTTAACTCCAAATTGAAATCTCACAATGTGTACTGCATTCCCTTAAAAGTAACATGCGTATATTTACACTCTGACCTCTGGAAGACCTTGTTATGTATATATGATTGTTTACTACTAAATAAACTTTCAATTTATCATTCAGAGCAGGTAACTATTCTGAAGACTGAGTGCTACAGACACAGGCTCTGATTCGTAAACAACACTGTACCTCATAATTTTGGACAGAAAATAGCTTCAGCTATTCAGTATTGTTTCCATGTATTTAAGCATTTTTCATGCACTTGATGGTTGATTTCTACTTTGGAAAAGTATGGATAGATTTAACGATAAAGCAATTCAACATTCAGATGTTTACACAGTCATGCTTCTGAACACATCTGCTGCACTTCCACTGCTCCTTGCAAAGTGAAATAAAACTTACCCACATGTGCTAGCCATCCGCTTTCGTATGCACCTAATGTGTGTCATTTATGTGTTTACATATGTGTCAGGGTTGTAGACCCCTTCATGAACCCTTTCCAAAAAAAAAAGGCCTCTGCGCTTCAGTTTGATCTACATCAGACCTGCTTAATCCTGATTACACTACTTGTTCTGAATTGAATATATAGTTTAGACACTTTTATATAAGTTATTTTCAGTCCTTTAATTTCTTCAGTGTTTGTATCATACCCTTTGTTCAAGGCTTCTACAGGCAACATCGTTACACCTGGCAAAAGTGACTGTCTTTATGAGCGAGTCATGGAAATATTCAGTTAACTGAATAGCACTCATTTATTCAGGAATCAATCAAAGATGCATCCCAATTTGCATACTTATGCTGTATTTTATGCTATTGTGCTCACTGAAAACTCTATAAAGATGAAGTGCACTTGAGGTATCCTGATAATGTCCTAGGCCTTAACTGAAAATAAATCAATAAATAATTGTGGAATTTTGGCCACTTATGCTTTCCTTAATTACCGGAAGGTTATCAGACTTGGATTTTGGTTGACAAAACAACAAAAACATACACTAAAAAGTATACACCCGTTAAAGTGACTTTTATACACTATAGGCTACAATAAAAGTGATTTTAACAACGTCGTTCGTCTGTGTCTTTAATCGTTATAGCTGCCTGGACTTTCCTGTTAATTTAATTAATTGTTTGCTGTTAATTCAAAATATAATTAAAACTATAAATTGATTGTCCTTGCTGTAAAATAGACTTAAATCAAGAACGCCGCTACGGTGACTCGTGACTGTTAATTCTGCGATGGCTTCATTCTGAAGGCGAAGCACAAATTTGTAACTGGAGATATTAGGCTATGTCTAATGTAAATTGCTCAATATCAATTGAACTGTCTATTGAACTGTTTTATATAAGCAGTATCATGCGAGCCATTCCTATCACAAAGCTGATGGTCAAATATGTGATCTATTTGAATTATTTAGAGAAACAGCCACTTTAAAATGCTATGGGGAAAGTCGAACAGTAAAAAGGCAAATAAACTAAAAGACTGATGAAAAGAGGAGAAAACAGTCTTGAACCAGCAGCACTAATATAGGCTATATTAAAATCTTTTTAAACTACTCATGACCACCTTTAGCCTACTAGAATTTATCACGTTTTATTGTAGGCTTATTTATTGTGTACATTTTAGTCTAACTTGTTGTAGAATTTATATTAGATAATCTGTTAAGGGAATAGATTTTTCCCTGTAGATTTATATTACTGTGGCATGTTCTATTGGTTCTAAATGTGCATGCGGTTGTTTCTTCATAAATGCTATTGGTTAATTAAAAAAAAGCTATTATTGGCCTGGTAATGATTAATAGGCTAGTCTTATTATAAAAAATGCTACAGTAAAGAACTACATGGCCTTCAGATATTCCAAAAGATGGCATAGATTAAATCATTAAGAGGCTGATGAACTGTTAAGGAGTAAGAAATAAACAATATCAATATAAGAAAATGTTAAGTTAAATTGGCATGTTGAATTAGAACATTCTGTCAAACTATAGCTTATAAGTACCTAAATAATATAAAATACATTACATTTATATATCCTATGTAAACAAGTACTTGTTAACTATGATGTTACTTTATTGCACCAACTTTGCATAGATGATAGCACAAAAGATCATTTCACAAAAATAAATATATAAGGAAACAAACAAATAAATAAACCTTATGAGTGAGCATGACCTTCCTTTGCAAGGAGTTTGATTGACAGGCGATCTGACCAATCATAAAGCCAAATCTGCCGTTTTTGTCCAACAAACAAATCAGACAGGAGAGTAGATAAACGTCGGTGGATTTGAACTTGAAAAACGCAATGACGTCTTTCCGCGGTTGAAACAAGGTCCCTTCTGATGTTCATTCATGTTTATTTTGCGCTATAATGGTTCAGGCGCTACTTGAACTGAGGCTTTACAGCAATCTGTCAGGACACATTAATAAGCCACAAAACGGTATTTATTGTTTGATTTTTCTTTTTAAAAAATGACAACATTTGAAAACTCACACTTGTTTCACACCAAAGGTAACCTTCTCTGTCTTGTCTGTCCATGTGTTGTCAGTGTTTTCTTTGCTCCGCAATATATTTTTCGCTTTGTGAGAACATGCCCTACGTCCCAATGTGCATACTTCACATAGAATTTAGGATGGATAGTATGCACATTGGGACACAGGAATGGTGTGTGCCATGAGAGACATGGGCATGACACTTTATCTGCTCATGCTCAGTAGGATTCTCTCTGCCTGTGGAAAAGGAGCACAATCTTTTCACTTCAGCAGAAGTTTTTACCAAAATACTGATTTTGAGGTATGGACGTTATTTTTTAGATGTACAGTATTTAGTTTTCTGCTGTCTTAAGTTTAGATGACTGCGAATTGAAACTTACATACGTTTTATCTCTAGATTATTGATTAAAACAATTAACATGAACAACCTATGCTAATATAGGCGTGGCTAGCTAGCATATGATGTTTTATCATGGCAGCAACTGCGGGGGAAATTGTAACACAATGTCAACACCTTGTTTGTCTGTGTTGACATACTTTTCTGTTAGAAGATGAACATTTAAATGTAAAACTATATTTAAAATGTATTAGTGTTACACATTAAACCATGTTTTATTGCATTTTTTTAATGCATTTAAATCGTTTTTTTTTTTTTAATGAACCATTTCATTAAAGTTTGGTTAAATACTGTTCTCGACTCATCAGCTGATTAATGTAGGCTATATAAGTAAAATATATTTAAAATAATTAAAATCTAGTTACTACTAGAATAGTTCCCTAGTCTTCTGCAAAAAATAGAAGTTGACTTTGCTTTTTGAATGCATGCTTTTGAATATGAAGCCTGATATCTAAAATAATTTGAACCATACATACATATATTTACACTACCGTTCAAAAGTTTGGGATCAGTAAGACTTGTAATGTTTTTTAAAGAAGTCTCTTATGCTCATCAAGGCTGCATTTATTTGATCAAAAATACAGAAAAAACAGTAATCTTGCAAAATGTTATTAAAATAATGGTTTCTATTTTAATATCCTTTAAAAAATGATTTATGATGCAAAGCTACATTTCCATCAGCCATTACTCCAGTGTAAAGTGTCACATGATCCTTAAGAAATCATTCTAATATGCTGATTTATTTTTAGAATTATCAATGTTGGCAACAGTGTGTAACAGTAACAAAATATTTTTTTGGAAACGCAGATACTTTTTTCAGTACATCGTAATAATATTTCACAATATAATTTTTTTCCCTGTATTTTTGATCAAATAAATGTAGCCTTGATGAGCATGATAAACTTACTATTAACTCCTTTAAAAAAAACATTAAAAATCGTTCTGATCCCAAACTTTTGAACGGTAGTGTATATATACACACACACACACACACACACACACACACACACAACACAACACAACACAACACACAACACACACACACTTTATTAGATACTACAGCAGTAAAGTGATTACTTTGAGGTAGGCTTTTCTTTGAGACCCAGTGGGTTAATGTGACTTATTTTTCAGTGTTACAATTGCTCCCACCAAGGGGACAGTTGTAATACTCTGACTCATTGCATTTAATTTAATATTACAGTCTTGTCCTGATTAGTGAAAATGTATCAATTTTATTATTAATCGGTGCACCTGTATTTGTTTCATGTATCAAAAGACGACTAGTGTATTTCAAGTAGTTTGTGAGTTATGTCTACTTCATGTAGTCTGTAAGGAAAATTGTAAAAAAAAAAAAAAATGTTACAGTTGCACCCGGTCTCCCCTACTTTACCTAATCTCGAGGCTACTATATTTGTCAAAGATTTTTTATATCCTGATACTAAATTGGCTCCCACAACTCTAGATTAACACCCATCGATGCACTATCAATGTCTCAAAGTGATCCAGAGTGAAGATATCGTGCTCTACATAGAAGGTTAAAGAGTAGAGGGTCTTTCGTCTCTTAGCTAACTGATTTCAAATGTTCTTTGGATGTTGTCACAGGCTATGTTTTCGCATAGACTCTGTGGGGTAATAGAGTTGAGTTATTAAAGAAGGAGCGAGCAGGAGCAGCATCACTTACGTTTATGCTCCATTACAGAATGACATGGCCTTTTGATCCAGCACCCCCCTCTTCAGTATGAGCAAAACCATCTGAGCAAACACACTAGCTGGACCT